ACACACCCATGATGATCCTGTGAACTCAGAGTAACACACCCAGGATAATCCTAGGAACTCACCTAGAGGAAAAAGAAAGACTAAGACTGTTAAAACATAAAGGAGTTTCCAGGCCAGCCCACATTTTCATCTGTCACAATTACACTGGCATTGCTCCTTGCTCTCCATTGCAAATACCCCTAAAATGCCATCTGGTTTATAGGTCCATAAATCTGGAGCATCCTCACTGTGAGACAACAGTCATTTGTTCCAAATTAAAATTGTGTCATAGCATGGGTGTTGTCATCTGAAATGTTGTGATCTCTTGGAAGTAATGCATAGAACAGAGAGAAGATGCTTCCAGACCTGTTCTTCACATATAGGTATGCACTTCTGAGAGAACTGCTTTTCTCTTTGCATTGGAAAATAAGCTTAGATGGTGGAAGCAGACTTCTTAACAGGGTCTCAACTGCAGACACGGCTGGACCGCCCCTTCACTGGGGGAAGTGCAGAGACTTCAGTCATGACCTTTGAACAATCGATGGAAACGCTGGGACGAGTGTTCCGAATGGAGAGTGCACAATTGAGGCTCTGGCGGGTGATCTGCGGAGTTGGTCAGAGGGAAGAGCAGAGGGAGCTGGAGCCCAGAACCCTGAACCTGGGCGTGCGGCCGACGGAAAGGTCTCAAACTCGAGGCCGTTAGGGAACACATTTAACTTTTGAAGGAGCCCTTCTGAGTGTGACCCAAGAGAAGGGAGTAATTCCCCATGCCAAACACGTCCCTGGGCCACGGGCTCACGGGCACGGTGCTGCGCCCTCGTGCAGCCTCACCGAGGTGTGAAGCAAGGAGAGAAGCCGCAGCGGGAGGACGTTTTGTTTGACTCTCTCTTGGCCGGGCGAGACGTGGTGCGTGCTTAGGCTGTCAGGTCATGCGTGTGGAGCCCCGCAGGGTCAGACTCGTGGCTTTCCAAGTCACGGTCAATAACAGCCACACTAAGAAGATTAGGGAGCTTAGTGTGGGGACCATGTGCTTAGCCAAACGTGGATCTTATTTTGATATAAAGGAGCGTTTGAATCAAGGGTCCGGTGGATGTTCTACAGCGTGAGCCACGGCCCCAGTACTTTCTGCTCTAGTTAATTGGGCATATGGTGTCCCATTTGTGGCCAGGGCAGTATAGGTCATGATCCTCTGATTTACACTTCACACTGCTGCTGGGAAGACAGGTGTGTGCCACGCCTGTAGTTTTATTGGTTGAGATGGGGTCACATGAACGTTGGGCTTCTCTGCCCTCAAACCATAATTTTTCTGGTCTCTTGCTTGCCAGTAGCTAGGACGTCAGGCGTAGCTCGCCACTGCACGGGGTGGCCTGCTCCATTCAGTGTTTCCTAAGGAAGTACGAGGTGTAAAACTTTATTGTGCTCACCGAGCGCGGTGGCAGCTCTCTGGTCGTGGGTGCTTTCTTCCTCGGCACCGCCGGGCCTGCACCAGGCAGCCATGTCGAAGGGACCTGCCGTTGGCCTTGGCACTGCCTACTCTTGCATGGTGCCTTCCAACAGGGGAAAGTGGAGGTCACTGCCAACGATCCGGCGCCCGGGCCGCGCCCAGCTGCCCTGCCTCACGGACGCCGAACGCATGATCGGTGATGCTGCAGAGAACCCTGCGCGATGAATGTCTGGTTAGACGTAGATCTGATGATGCTGTGGTCCAGTCTGACCTGAAGCCCAGTCCCTTCGTGGCAGGCCCAAGGTCCAAGCGGACTACAAAGGCAAGACAAACGTCCCATCCCAAGGATGTCTCCTCCAAGGTTCTCACAAAGATGAAGGAGGTTGCAGAAGCCTATCTTGGGAAGACTGTTACAAATGCTGCGGTTACTGCCGCAGCATACTTGAGTGACTCAGGCCAGGCAACAAAAGATGGCAGAGCCATTGATGGTATGAATGTACTGAGAATTATCAATGAACCAACCGCTGCTATTGCTTTCAGCTTAGACCAGAAGGCTGGGGCTGAAAGCAATGTGCTGATCTTTGATTTGGGAGCTGGCACTTTTGATGTGTTAATCTTCTCTATTGAGATGGAATCTTTGGGGTCAGTTCTACAGCAGGAGACACCCACCTGGGTGGAGGAGGCTTTGACAACCGAATGGTAAACCATCTCATTGCCAGATTCAAACGCAAGCACATGCAGCACACAGTGAGGAGCTGTGCGCCATCGGGGTGCGGCCATGCACAACGCAAGCACAGGAAACACACAGTGAGGGGCTGTGCGCCATCGGGGTGCGGCCGTGCACAACGCAAGCACACGCAGCACACAGCGAGGGGCTGTGCGCCGTCGGGGCGCGGCCGTGCACAACGCAAGCACAGGAAGCACACAGCGAGGAGCTGTGCGCCGTCGACAGCGAGGGGACACAGGGACACCGACTTCCAGCACACAGCGAGGGGCTGTGCGCCGTCGGGGCGCGGCCGTGCACAACGCAAGCACAGGAAGCACACAGCGAGGAGCTGTGCGCCGTCGTCCGTGAGCAATGCAAACACACACAGCACACAGCGAGGAGCTGTGCGCCGTCGGCCGTGAGCAATGCAAGCACACACAGCACACAGCGAGGGGCTGTGCGCCGTCGGGGCGCGGCCGTGAGCAATGCAAGCACACACAGCACACAGCGAGGGGCTGTGCGCCGTCGGCCGTGAGCAATGCAAGCACATGCAGCACACAGCGAGGGGCTGTGTGCAGTCAGCCGTGAGCAATGCAAGCACACGCAGCACACAGCGAGGAGCTGTGCGCCGTCGGGGCGCGGCCGTGAGCAATGCAAGCACACGCAGCACACAGCGAGGAGCTGTGCGCCGTCGTCCGTGAGCAATGCAAGCACACGCAGCACACAGCGAGGGGCTGTGCGCCGTCGGCCGTGAGCAATGCAAGCACACGCAGCACACAGCGAGGGGCTG